AGACTGCGATTCCCTACTTTGGATACGTCCTTTGTCGATGTTCCGATCGGCAGGGCTGAGTCTCGGCATTTTTGAAGCTGAAAAATGTTGACAATTGAATGACAAATTATTGGCTTATGCTTGACTTTCTATAATCACTACCACGAGTTACGATTGCCATAACGTGAATTTTGCTTTACTGTTCTCCATCAGTAGATTTTTGAGCAAGTGTGAAAACAAAGCCGTTTAATACATTGCAAATCGACAATGGCTGCGTTTGACGCATCGTTTGTCGAATACCAGGCCACCAACATTTTCGAATAACGTATATCCAATTTATACACCGGATTTTTTGTGTTGTCAGGTTCAATGAGGTGAGGTGAGGTGAAATGGGGTTTAACGTCGCGTCCAAGATTATTGCACTTATATAGCGACGTGCATGCATGCGTGTATGTGTGTGTGTGGCTGCTTGTACTAGTCCGGACTGATGCCGATTTATAGTGCTAGCTCACTGAGATACCATGCCGCAGTTTAACATGAATACCCCACTCAGACACAGTATACTGACTCCGAGCCGACCAGTCCTTGTTTTAGCCCCTTAATGCCGAGCGCCAGACAGGGTAACAACAAGTACAATCTTTTAACGTCTTTTTGTATGACGCGGCCCGGGATCGAACCCTGGACCTTCCGCTCTCCGGGCGGACGCTCTACCACAGGACCACGGAGGCGGTCGTCAGGTTCAATGAACTACATACTACTAGTTAATCTGTCCCGTCTGGTGGTATTGCCGTAACAGCCTTCCGATTGTGGGTATTATTTAACTTGTCTTGAGTAGTATAGTTAAAAAGTATAGTTATTTAAGACGGTATGTACATGTGTTAGATTACGGTTGTATGTAGTGTAACTGATTGCTCTGCGTGTACATATGTTTGGTGTTAGTGTTAGTGAGGGTATATTGACCGCCTCCGTGGTCTGGTGGTAGAGCGTCCGCCCGGAGAGCGGAAGGTCCGGGGTTCGATCCCCAGCCGCGTCATACCAAAAGACGTTAAAAGATGGTACATGTTGTTTTCCTGTCTGGCGCTCGGCATTAAGGGGCTAAAACAAGGAATAGTCGGCTCGGAGTCAGTATACTGTGACTGATTGGGGTATTCATATTAAACTGCGGCATGGTATCTCAGTGAGCTAGCACTATAAATCGGCATCAGTCCGGACTAGTACAAGCAGCCACACACACAAACACACTTGCATGCACGTCGCTATATAAGTGCAATAATCTTGGACACGACGTTAAACCCCATTTCACCTCACCACCTAGTGAGGGTATTAGTCTGACTCAGTATACTTGTTACTTGTTGATTGTTTGCTACTGTGTTGGTATACTAGACAGACTGAGTGAAATTTGGCTTCACAGGGCTTTGAACTGTAGTACAGTTATATCACAGCAGTCCGATGTGAGGAAAGCGAATTGTGAGATGTTCGATGTGAGAGGAAAGGAAATGTGATTAGAACATTCTATATGGCAGTGTAATTTATTGTTAAGCAATGATTGTAACTGTATTACACTGTCTATGTTGAGATTCACTTGAAGTTCATTGCATTGTGTTTGGACAATGATTAGTTGTCAGGAATGTGGTACTACTTAATGTCAGTAGTGGTGAGTAAGTAATTATATTTAGAAGCTCGAATCATCTGTAAACTTCCGGAATATTATGGATAGATGTCAAGCATGGAATATTCTGTGAAGTCCAAAGGACACTGGACTGGACTGTGTAGAAAGTAAGGGAAGCTGGTTACACTATAAAAGTGGAGCGGGCGCGTCCCTGTCTCATCTCACATTTCATCTGATATTACATGAAGACCATCTTTTGTGTGAAGATCACATTTCATCCTGGATTCCTAGCCTTGGCCTTTCTCGGAAGCTTGACCCCTGTTGCTGCGATGTCATTATTAGTCTTGCTATTGCCATCTCCACTACTCTCACAATGTATACTGCCATTGCATATTGCACTACCACTCTACTGTGTACTGCCATTGTAATTGCTGTCGGTAATCTGTATTGATTTGTAAACCTAGTTTAGTATGTAACGCAATTGTTGCGTGTATACCATTTGTTTGCTGTTTTTGGTTTCACACTAAATTCTTTTACGTAGAGATTTCTGGGTTAACCTGTTGTTTCAATGAACACGTAACAAACCAAAGGGAATATTAGGCAGTAATCATTATGTGTAAAAGTAAGGAAGATTTCAATGTCATGGCTAGATATAATTAAATAATTTTTCCAGTTAATACGGGTATACCTGTTTTGAGACATGTGAGACTGATAGCAAATGCAAAACGTCAACGCCTGAGAATAACCAGTCTCGATTATCCGCCGAGACAGATTCCATCGGGAGTAAAAGGCAAAATAGGGGTGAAATTATATGAATGTATAACTGACAATCAGTGATGACACCAGGTGTTCGCGAAGAGGGCAAGCAGGTCCTGAAGGCCTAAAGTGAAGGCACATGAATCAAATCGGCACTTCGGACCAGATTTCACCAGGTCTGTCATCTGTCAATCTCACGACCTGTCCTGTGTTGGGGGGAAATTCCTTCTTTTTTTATGAGAGGTGTGTTCCTGTCCAGTCACTTGCTCAGTGCCTGGATGTGTTGAGTTTGGGGACAATCTGTCTTCGTTTACAGTGACATATATAAGTTCGGCCTAAATCCTTAAGTCTCTTAAAAATAATGCACTCCAATTTCAATTTTTTGTTTGTTTAACTTGCTTTCTACTTTCAAGCAATCTTTTCTCTGGTGTTAATTTATTCTTTAACGAGTTTGTTAAAGAGAAGATATGGTTTCGTCAACTGCTATGAAAGCCCAAACAACTTAATTTATTTCACAATACAATTTTGTTTGCAACCTGAGGTAAAAATTGTCTTCTGGAAACTGGCGTTAAACCCAATTACACATGATATGAGTGAAGTAGTATTGAATGCGACGTCTCACCTCACCTCGCCTCAGGTGAGGTGAAGGAAAGGATTGATGGATTGTAGTTATGAGAGACCAAATTTTCAATGCTCGATTGCTATTTCCACTGATATTTGCAACAGTCCAAACACAAGAAAACTATAAACCGACAACATTCCATGTTATGGTTCACTGTAAAATAAAACTGATAACACCACAATCAGCTCTAACTAAAACGGGGCGGTCGGGTAGCCTATAGCTAGTGGTTAAAGCGATCGATCGTCACGCCGAAGACCCGGGTTCTATTCCCGACATGGGTACAATGTGTCCCCCGCCGTGATATTGCTGGAATATTGCTAAAAGCGGCGTAAAACTATACTCACTCACTCACTCTAACTAAAACACCTTGGTGAGTGAAGGTCGAGTTTTTTACAAAGTTGATCATAACTTGTGGAAACTGGTAACTTCTGGTTATCTGTGGCCGACCACATTCCCACGTCTTGGCGACGTCGGGGGATGACATAACGGGCGACGGAACACAAGTAGAATTTGTATGCGAGCAGCTAACCTTTCCACACTATAGCTACCTCACATATCCGTTTATCAGCCTGTGGATCTTCCTAATTCTCCTGTAAACACTTTGATCCTTTTTATGGCACGCTAGCGCATGTTTAGACAGTGTGTGCCAGCTACCCCACATGAATAGACTTAGACATATACAAGTGAGTGAGTGAGTATGGTTTGACGCCGATTTTATCAATATTTCAGCAATATCACGGCGGGGGACACCAGACAAGGGCTTCACACATTGTACCCATGTCGGGAATCAAACCCGGGTCTTAGGCGTGTCGAGCGAGCGCTTTAACCACTCGGCTACCCGACCGCCCCGGGACATATAGTAAAGTGTACGTGTACCAAAGTGATAGTCAAGGCATGTATCGCCAAAGTCAAACTACTGTTATGACGTTTTAGTATTAATTACTCATATTTTGTATCTTTTTTACATATAGAGCAACACAGTGTTACACTTATATGTATGTTATACCATCCCAAAATGCTAATATGCAAAATGGCGTCAAGATGAAGTCAAAATTTGTTCAAAATTTATTCAAGATTTAGAGAAAACTTAAACGTCATGCAATATAACATTAAATCTAAAAAATAAAACAAAAGAAAACAATAGAAAAGAACACATTCAAAAACAAATATTTTCCGTCACTAGCACAATTCGGAAGAGTTTTTTTCAAAACCAAAACGAACCGAGTATATATGTATTACACACTGCAAAGTTTACCATCTATAGTAAATAGAAATAGAGTTAACCAAACGTTCCCGTCCTAACTGCTCCTATATGGAATTTTAAGTGTTAAGTGATTAGTGTTTTATTCTGCTGTTAGCTATCTCAGGGCATGCGACACCTTAAATGGTTTTACATCATTGTAACCATGTGGGGAATAAAACTCCTTTGCGGAATTTTAAGTGTTAAGTGATTAGTGTTTTATTCTGCTGTTAGCTATCTGAGGGCATGGGGCACCTGGAATGGTTTCACATCATTGTAACCATGTGGGGAATCAAACTCCGGGCCTTCGGCGTGACGAGCGAACGCTTCAACCACTTGACTACCCAACCGCCCGTTATTAACCGCTGACAAGAACGTTAAGACACGTCGGTTACTTCAACCACAACGTATTACCCTTTGATAAAACATGGCCCATTCTCGTGTTATCCGATGAGTAACGATCCCTGCCCTGTTGTAGCAGTTAAGATGTGACAGAAATTCCCCTTTGAATATCAAGCAATTACCATCCCCGGTCGACACTGAATACTAAATAATTCAAGCAATGTTACGGTGTATCTCGCTCTGGGCAATATTCATATGAACTTGCGATGAAAAAGCATATTTTTATTCAGCCTAAAGACAATAAAACGGCGCGGTGTTCCAACTCCGCCCCCTATAGTGTCAATGAATGACAAGCCCTTGGCCTTAGGCAGAAAACGAGATCTTGTAATGTCTTGTAGCCTTACCTTAGAGTATGTCTACATAGTTAAAGACAAGCCTACCTTGTGGGAGCGTGGCGCCTCTTCTGGTGTATACAACTGTGTGGATACCGGCGTTCATAATTGGATAATGAGTGACCAAGAAACCAGACAGAAGCCTTTACCATTGTCTCCTTACTGAAGGGAAATTCAGGAATCCCATTGAAGGTAAATAATATGATTCACATTGGACTTTATTGATTGATGTGATTGTCAGTGGTATGTCTTGATAACCAAGTATGCACCATACTTATAAATAAAGACACGAGAAGAAGATATTGTTTTGCAAATATAAGTTATTATTATTATATAATTTCCATATAGTTCCCATCACCATGTTGCCTTTTGCGCCCAATGGAATCTGCTTCGATCGGTAATTGAGACTAACGATTCCCTGAAGTTGACGCGTTATATTTAATGAAACTGTACATGTTTCTATGGGAAACTGTAAACGTGGAGATTCTCAAGCACGAAATATTCCTGGGAATATGTTTTACATTTTTAATGTTAGGATCTCAACTCCAATGCCTACGGGTTCTTTCTCATGAAGTACATGTTCTGATGAATGATACCATGGTTATTTGTGATGATCAGAGAACGTCCCGAATGTAGCTACAGTAAACTACGTTTGTGACGAACACGCTTATAACGAACTGACGGATATAGCGAACTTACTTTTTTGTCCCGACTATTTGCTGTAGTTATGCTGTATATATGCTTATAACGAACTACGGTTATAACGACTTAGAATTCGTGGTCCCTTTGAGTTCGTTATATCCGTAGTTTACTGTATCTCTTTACGAGACCCTTGTAGACAAAACAATAGCTGACATGTTACTTAATTAAATGTTATTTGATCAAACCTAATCCCAAAAAGGCAGCTGTAAATACATTATCGTCTCATGATGTGACTCATATACCAGAAAAAACAGCAAGATAGGTATGATGCCATCGGTAGTGTCATGCATTTGAAAGACGCTAACCCGATTGCATTGTCACAGACGTAAGTTTGAATAACCTAATACTTACGAACAACTATAAGTAAATACACAGTAACAAATCATATGCATATAATTGTTTGCATGAAACAATCTTATTTGTATCCATATTCAATAATATGTATCAATACGGAGTAGCGTCTGTGGCTGTAACGACGACAGCACTAGAAGCGACAGTATTTGCTCTTGAAAAGACTAAATAACCACAGCAGTAAGTGTAGTTGTAGTAGACGTAGTAGCAACAGCTGCACTAGTAGTAGTAACAGCAGCTGTAGCAGTAGTAGCAGCAGAAGTAGTAACAACAACAGCAGTTGTAGAAGTAGTAGCAGCAGAAGTAGTAACAACAACAGCAGTTGTAGCAGTAGTAGTAACAGCAGCAGCAGCAGTGGTAGTAGAAGTAGTAGTAGCAGCAACAACAACAACAGCAGTAGTAGTAGTAGTAGTAGTAGTAGTAGTAGTAGTAGTAGCAATAGTATTAACAACAACAGCAGTTGTAGAAGTAGTAGCAGCAGAAGTAGTAACAACAACAGCAGTTGTAGCAGTAGTAGTAAAGCAGCAGCAGCAGTGGTAGCAGAAGTAGTAGCAGCAGCAACAACAGCAGCAGTAGTAGAAACAGCAGCAGCAGTGGTAGTAGAAGTAGTAGCAGCAGAAGTAGTAACAACAACAGCAGTTGTAGCAGTAGTAGTAACAGCAGCAGCAGTGGTAGTAGAAGTAGTAGTAGCAGCAGCAACAACAACAGCAGTAGTAGTAGTAACAGCAGCAGCAGCAGTGGTAGTAGAAGTAGTAGTAGCAGCAGAAGTAGTAACAACAACAGCAGTTGTAGCAGTAGTAGTAACAGCAGCAGCAGTGGTAGTATAAGTAGTAGTAGCAGCAGCAACAACAACAGCAGTAGTAGTAGTAACAGCAGCAGCAGCAGTGGTAGTAGAAGTAGTAGTAGCAGCAGAAGTAGTAACAACAACAGCAGTTGTAGCAGTAGTAGTAACAGCAGCAGCAGTGGTAGTAGAAGTAGTTGTAGCAGCAGCAACAACAACAGCAGTAGTAGTAGTAACAGCATGCAGCAGCAGTGGTAGTATAAGTAGTAGTAGCAGCAGCAACAACAACAGCAGTAGTAGTAGTAACAGCAGCAGCAGCAGTGGTAGTATAAGTAGTAGTAGCAGCAGCAACAACAACAGCAGTAGTAGTAGTAACAGCAGCAGCAGCAGTGGTAGTATAAGTAGTAGTAGCAGCAGCAACAACAACAGCAGTAGTAGTAGTAACAGCAGCAGCAGCAGTGGTAGTAGAAGAAAAGTAGCAGTAGCAGCAACAACAACAACAGCAGTAGTAGTAGTAGCAGTAGTAACAACAACAGCAGTAGCAGTAGTAGTAGCAGTATGTATATCAGACGAAGTAGTCTACGTTGTCAGGCAGGTGTGGACACACGAGGTACTGTGAAACAGCATGAATAGAATGTGCACTCAAACATGGAGTTCATGTCAGCATATGATGAACAGACAGATTCCGGATTTTATTGTGGACATTAACATTAATAGGCCCATGCTATCTTTTGCCAAAGGTAATATATCAATGACAGCGGTTCCGGATGAGCCGTTCACAGCATAATGATGTTTAGATAGAGTCTATTTGTAAGGACATTCAAGTATGTCTGAGTATGTCCTAAAAGGTACTCGAACGACCATTCAAAAATACGTTTGACAGTATTTTAAAATTTATTTGAACGACCATTCAATTATATGTTTCACTGTATCCTTAAATGTATTTGAACGACCCTTCAGCCATATGCTTGGTAGCAGGCTACAAACAAACACATATTTTTTATGCAAATTATTTGAGTGATGGTTGATACTGATAGAGCTGAAAAATGCTTACTCCTTCGCTAACACCTGGTGTCATAACTGATTTTCGGGGGCACGGGATTCGCTGTGCAGAGTTGCGTCCCTTGGGCACTCCAGAAACCTATGATTGTGGGTTCGAATCCCGATTCGCCCCGATTATGTTTCTAGATTTGTCAGCACCATACCCGTGCTCGTGGGCTTCACCGTAGAAGTAAGCGTCTGAGACCTGCATCACTTCGGGCTTTTCACCCACATTAAGCTGACACGCCGTGATATAACCGTTAAAAGCGGCGTTAAACCCAACTCACTCACTCACTCACTCACTCATAACTGCTTTTCAGTGATCCATTCATATAATTTGTATCACTATTTTGCCTTTCACGACCAGTGGAATTTGTTTCAGCAGATAATCGAGACTGGTTACTGTCTGGAGTTGACGTATATTTATATGAAGGGACAGTGTGGGCAATAGAATCAAGCTTTTATGCAGAGCAGGAGATTACCAATCATTATGCTATCCCTTCAACGCTGAATCAATTATAGTAATTGATATTTATGCTGAACAGAACAACATGTACATGTCTACTAGACCGATAACATGTGAGGTGAAATGGGGTTTAACGTCGCGTCCAAGATTATTGCACTTATATAGCGACGTGCATGCACGTGTGTGTGTGGCTGCTTGTACTAGACCGGACTGATGCCGATTTATAGTGCTAGCCCACTGAGATACCATGCCGCAGTTTAACATGAATACCCCACTCAGACACAGTATACTGACCCCGAGCCGACCAGTCCTTGTTTAAGCCCCTTAATGCCGAGCGCCAGACAGGGTAACAACAAGTACCATCTTTTAACGTCTTTTGGTATGACGCGGCCGGGGATCAAACTCCGGACTCTCCGGGCGGAAGCTCTACAACTAGACCACGGAGGCGGTAGACCGATAACAATAAAGTGCAGTAACACACTTGACATCTATTCAGACATACAGATGATCACATTTTTGTAATCAATTTAGGCTCTTTTCAAATGAGAGATCATAATTTGATCGCCGAGGACAGTTCGACTGTAGATTGCGTATTTGATAGGAACGTGCTTACTATTCTTGACGTTGACGTTTTGAATTAACGATATCCTTAAGGGTATTTAAACAATCGTTGAAGCAAATGTTTTACAGTATCCTAAAGGATCTGCTTTGGTGTTGTGAATTAAAGGGAGGGAGTTTCCAAGGTATGAATCACCGTCGGATGGTGTCGACATTGCCCCAGGGAGTAACGGTCTCGGCATGTTAACACCCATTTTATAGGCTCCCTGTTTGAGGTACACTCCAACAGGTGAACAATACATGTTTAGAAATGTTCTTTCGGGTCAAGTTCATTTTTGAATAGATATCTTATTATTTTCAAACGTTTGGGGTAATTTATGTAACCGTGTTATGTCGTGATTGCAATCTTAAAACGTTAAAATAGTTCTAGACGCTACTGCTGCTACTATGTGGATGTAAAAAGACACAATTACATTATATTACACTGTACTGTACTTTGTGTTATGATGTCATGGCTACAGATCACGTGACACGTCACGAATGGACAACGCAGCGTTGTCCACTGTGTCAGACAAACGTCCATCTAGCTTAGGTTACTTTTACCAAAAACATTTTGGGCGGTCGGGTAGCTTAGTGGTTAAAGCGTTCGCTCGTCACGCCAAAGACCCGGGTTCGATTCCCGACATGGGTACAATGTGTGAAGCCCAATTCTGGTGTCCCCCGCCGTGATATTGCTGGAATATTGCTAAAAGCGGCGTAAAACCATTCTCACTCACTGCCAAAAAAACCATTTGAAATATTTCAGCGTATGATACTATAAAGTGCAGTATGGCTTATCAATTATTCGGTTATTCATCTACCACAACCCACTTGAATTACGTTAGATTAAATATTTAAGTCTGTAAGATATATACAGGTAATCTATAAATAACATAATTTTGGAACGATTCCGTGTAGGTTTACATTGAATACGTTTCTATTCATTATAGGAATTGCATACAATAATATATACAGTAATATAAACTTCAGTGGTTGGAGGTTTGCTTCAAGTAGTATTCACGGGCACATGTAGAACAACGTGGATTATAATAGCCTTGAACTAGTATATCCATCTTAGATAGTTCAGTGGTTTTTATAGAAAAATAACTTCAATTTTAATAACTAATGATGAAGAGGATAGAAACTGCATAATGTGGATTTGAAGATAAGTATTGCTAATAATTCGTCCTTTGTCTTTATTGCCCAGTTTTGGTTAAGATGACAGTGTCAGTTTGAAAGCACCAACCTCCTCTA